AAAAAAAAACACACACGTCATTGTAAAATCAATACATTCCTCGCTCCGCTCAGAATCTAAAAAAATTAAATTAATTAATCCTGCACAATGTTCTACTTGTTCGAATGAAATAGGAGGTTAGTTTACTATTAATAGTTTCTCTCTTTGACCTACGAACAACAGATAATATTCTCATCTTTAATTTTTGGTAACATTAGTAAATTGATAATTTAAAAAAAATGCACTATAACTTATTAAAACTAACCAAAGATTAGTTCTGCTGAACGCAAATTGACGATTTTGCGCTCCGGTCAGAGAAAGCCAATATAATTAGTACACAAACATACTCTTAATCATGCGATCAAATCACGCATTAATACATTATACGAAGGAAAAATTAAAATAGTTCACCTACMACTTTGTGTACACTGTGATTACTCTCGTTTGCTTCACGTGACACGTACCTATATAGTGTTTTGACGTATTTGTCTACTACATTTATAATATAATATTAAGTTTCGTATAAAACGCTGTCGTTAGATTTTAACGTGCAATTCAATATTTTAATCGATTTCCGACGGGTGGCCTGCAGACGACTAGCAATAAATATTCTTAAAACGTCGACCGCGCACAAGAAACCAAATTGTTCGGATGGATCGTATTTTTGGCCGGTCCTTTTTTTTTAATAAATTGCTTATGACATTCAGTTGACGATAATATGACGATTTCTGAGTGAATTAATAATAAAGCTCGCGGCGAGCGCGACAGATGAAGGATATATGGAAAAATAACACGTGTTTCATTAAAATTACATTAGTCCAATTGGCATTCAGCCACACGTCATGTACAAATAATATATATACATACTTATTTTTTCTTAATACTAGACCGTTAGAATATAATAATAATAATAGTAATGGAAATTAATGCCAGCTAGTTTATTATTAATTAACATGGAGCGTGGTTACGCCAATTTCTGAGTTTTTGACGCCTTCGAATCGACTCGATGATAAAACGATAAAATATTATGTCGTCGAATGGAACAACGAGAAGACTCCTTAAACATCTGATAAAAATACGACATCAGAGCGTTTACATGGGTACATTATTTTAAAGCGGATTCATCCATAAGAACATCGCCCGTTCTACTCGAATACTATTTATCTACATTCTAGTTACATGTTGTTAGAATACGTTTAAGAATATTTCAATAAGTTCAGATCGATAAGGTCGATACGTAGCACGATGTTATGAATGTGTATAATATATATTACTATAATACGAATATTGAATAATATATGYAGCGCCGGTTAAAAGTACGACATAATTTCTACATTATTATAATTATTTATAAGTATTGTGATTATGTATACTTTATCATGAGGTTTGATGTACGATTATGTTATTTTTATTATTATTCGATGGATTTGAACGTTTAAAATTATTCCACGTGGGACTATTACAATGTGTAAATGGTGTTATATTAATATATTATTATAAACTTGATGAACCACAGAAGGGTTAACTGCCGGATACATCACCATAGTAATATCGTCTGCGCCGGTACATCATTGTTGACATAAATTAAAATATTAAAGATTGAAAACGGTCGCGATACGTATACAAAAGACGAACAAAAATTATTGTTATTATTATTATTATTATTATTATTGTTATTCGATCGTATCGTGTTCATATATTATTCCACTTCTTTGACGTAAGAAACACGACCAAAAGAATATTATTATTAGTAGAAGAGAGGACCGCTGTCGATGTTCCATCTGTACAGTCGTCCGCCGATGCCCACTCAACCAGCGCTTGAGCTCCAAAATATATTATTTGACGCAGCTGCACGCCTGATGACCGATTGCATTTGAATAATTATAAATTATAATGCATAGATAGTAATAATATTATTGGTGTATGATATTATTATATATTGTTAGATCTTATATCGAACAAACAGCTCAAATATATATATATATATATCAATACAATATTTTGTTATTCTTTGTCTATGTCTGTATCATTATATAAAAACGTAGCTTAACGCGTAGGTATACGCACTCGTAACAAAACGTAATTTGATTCGAATTTACAAAAATCTGATAAACTATGACTCGTGTAGATTTAAAACATATACCTATAGTAAAGTATACTGTTGATGAAATTAAGTTAATTTATAATAGATAATATGTAGAATATATAATGATGAGTACAATACGCTATGCCTCAAATTCTCACCCTTTTAAATTATTCTTTGACTCCACATTCACCCACATTATTTTCTTTAACCTTACATAAAGAACATACTACCTACTATGCTCTTCTGTTACTATATTAAATTATTACTGACTATTTACTCAGATTTTGTTTTCTTTACATTAATGTACATTTTATATACCAACTCGTCAAGTGCGACTACATTTTACACTATATTGTTAACAAAATAGGAGGCATTTTACAGCATTTTGTATGCTTTGTAATGAACTGCAATAAATATTAGAACCCTATACAAGATGTAACAAGTCTATTTGACTAATGCTATAACTTTTTTTTATTCGATATTTTTTTTTGTAATGATTTGTAGAGCTCTGTGTTATAATTTAAAATATCTTATATATTTTTTACAACTAAAATTAAATAATTTAAATGTTGTATTAAATTAATTTTTTTCTTATAATCCAAGATAGCTATTTTATAAATAAGTATTTAAAAACTGCAGTGTTGGCGTTTAAAACTTTTTGGTCACATCATTGATTTTTAAACAATTTTCAAGTTTGTTAAAATTCAAATTTATTTCTCGCTAATCAGTGTTTTGATATTATTAGAAGATAGTTAATCAATAATTAAGACATTATAAATTATATGATTATACATAATACCATTATTTAACATGATCACGTGATGCATACCACTACCGTAAGTCAGATAGACCTGTTACATTCTGTATATTACTTTACATATAATATAATACAGATGTCTACGAAAAGAGAGAATGAAATAAAAAATAAAAATGTAAAGGGCTCAAAAATGTAGTATTKCGTATACTTAAATTAATAATCAAACGAGTGTTACAAAGACTTCTTGACTATTATTATTACGTAGGTAACATATATTTTGTATTATATAGATATATTATTATATCAAAAGGTTTTATATTTACATTACAATACATTTATGTACAATTTTTTCGGATTTCCACAGCTGAATAGTGAACCGTCGTCTGAGTTGGATAAACAACAGCGCAACGCACAGACAGGACAAGTGAAGATGGCCGCCACTGAAGCCGGAAGCCCTAGACGACTGGGTCTTAATCTCAACCTGAGCGTACAACCTCACGCGGCCGCATATCACTGGCCACATTCGACAGTGGCCGAAGACACTTCACCGTCCCGGTCCAAAGGCTGCACGGACGATGATGAAGACGACGACGAAGACGATCATAACATGGACGATCGCGATATGGATGACGATGACATCAATGACTGCCGACAGGATGAAGATTGTTCGCCCGAGGATGAACAAGATATTTTGGAAATGCAGGTATGCCTCTATAATAAAATTCCAGGGGAAGTTGACTTAAGACACCATCGGTGATGTGTAGTGGAGAGAAATAAAAAAAGGATGTGGTTATAGTTTTACAGAAGTAAGCATATAGAAAATTGTAATAGAATGGCGTGATATTTAACTTTTTTTTTTCCAAAAATAAAAAAATATATATATTGCTTTGCCACAAAGATACTAAGGTCTAAGGACGGTTCTGAACTTTTGGGACATAAACTGTATAATAGATATACAAACTCTTCAAAATATGTATTTATTTATTTATTGTATTTTTTATAACACTCAATGCATTACACGCTTAAAACAGTGTATTGATGAAAAGTTAATATTTGCGACTAGTTTTATGGTAATTGAGTCGATTTCACGTGTGCACAGGGTGGTTGGTCATTAGTGTGCTCTGACAGAGCTAAAAGCACTTTTGGGATGTTCAATGGTTGTTTTGCTTTTTATTTTCGGATATTCGGAAATGTAAAATTCGACTGAAATATATGCTCGACGAATTTAAGATTATAGTATATTATAGGATCCTTTAGGGTGCAGGGTATAGACTATTATAGTACTAAATTTATGTAAATAGGAAACGTAATTAAACGTTTTCGTTCAATTTTACCGCGTATTGGTTTTATGATCAATTTTCGATTTCAATCTTAGAGAAAGAGAAACCTGGAACACGAGATCACGTATTGTACGCATATAAGATAGAGTTTTTCATCATCAGAATATTATTTGTATTTGCAGCGCGAAGAACGTGAAACCCTCAATCAACTCGCCAGACAATTGGCGTCCGGTTCGCGACTGATAACTCCTATGCTTCAGCATCTCGTGTACCAACACCCTGGACTCTCCGTGCAGCCGTCGCAGATGCACCAGCAACAACTGCAACTGCAGTTACAGCAGCCGTCTGCCGTGGCCGTGTCCTTGACGACAGCCGCTCTCAACAGACATGCGACGACGGCCGCTGCTGACTTGTCGCCAAAGTCCAGCCACTCAAGTGACGTTCCGATGTCTGGCGGACGTTCTGCTGACGTTCAGTCACCGTCCGCGGCCCGGAATAATGAAGCCCAGTCATGGACGTTCGAGGAACAGTTCCGACAGGTTAGTGACGTACAATATAAATAATGTATAACAATTACCTTTATATAATGTATTATTCATACTGTTTATATGTGAAAATTMAAATGGTTTTTTTATATTAACAAAATGAAAAAAATATAATAAATAAATATATACAAGGCCTATCACCATATATTATTACCATCACCTTAATGGTCACCACCGCAATAATATACTTTTTCTACTTGAAATTTGATTTTGTAAAATCATAACCACCTTTACACGTTACTGCGTTCAGTAAGCTAAAACCTGAACACTAAAATTGAAATATAATTTCGTCTGATTTATGGTTTACTTAAACTTGAAATCAAAAACTCGTGTAAAAATGTCTTAAAGTAATAAGTATGTCTGTATGTGCAGGCAACGGTTACATAAGTTAGGTTAGGTTAAGTCGTTTAGGGCTTGGGGTTAGAAGTTACTACTATAGAAGTACTGCAAACAATTACAAACATAATACATTTTACAAGACATAACAGTTATTGTTTACTTGTATTCTAGCAGCATATCTTATTATTTTATAATTATAATTATAACTGCATAAGTATTTTATAGTTTAATATTAGATAACGGCCATAGGTTATATATCCACTCATATAAATACACCAATGTGGTATGTGAAACGGTTACTATGCTCCGATTTAGTCACTTATTTTACTTCTATCATAATTTATATTATTACGTTATGGCAGACCGTAAGGGTAAGGGATCTTCACGATTATAATACATAACGGAGGCAAGAAAAAGTATACGCATAAAAACGAACTGGAAGTCTAAAAACATAATATCCAACCGGACACTTATGGTTTTAATATTATGTAATAACTTCCTATTAAACTTATATTACTAAGAAGAGATTTCAGTTTACTCCTGCACGGTTTCTTGTGAATTACATGCGCATGTTATCGATTACGCGGTCTTTAGCTGTAAAGCTGAGCGTGTCAACTAGCTACACACATTATACATAGGTAATAAAATATACTCGGCCGACGATTATTATCATAATATATTATCATAGTACGGCCGTGACTTACTATATCGGTCCGGTCTACTGTATTTTCGAACGGAAGCGCAGCTGATGATATGCAATTTTCACTCGAGTTGAACGTGTTTTATGCTTATACTTTGGACCACAAAGCGCACACGGAAATCCTCGAACATCGTCGCGTGTCGCTCGTGACAATTACGCACATTACACTGCGGCTATAGATTAAAATTATATGCACTAGGAAACGTGGAAAGTATAAAAATCATTAATTTAATACACGAGTATTCTAATCTATTTTCAGTAATAATAATCCCGCGTGGGTTATTTGTTGCGGGCCCTGAACCGATCGGACCTTGCGCTTTATCTACACGCGCACTCGTTCCGAGTATAATCCGAGAGTCGAGTCACACCATAATAGAGTGTTTTATTATTATTTGATGAATAATAATTAGGTACTATATTACTATAATGTAGTTTAGTTSAGAATGCATCTTTCAATCCTCGAGCTAGAGAAAAACGAAATTTATAATGCCTACATAATGTGTGGCATTTTATATTGTTATATATATATACAGGGCCCCTTCTAACTGTCTTTATCGGTGCATACTAGTTGCCTCCCAAAATATATGAATTGCCTCCCGTCTTTATCGTAAATAAAAAGGTTAATTTACACTAGTTGCCTCCGATGACCAGATAGTTCATAATTATATCCGAGTTGCCTCCCAAAAATGTTCACACTATAGTTGCCTCCCAATTCCCATATAGAATTGAGTAGTGGTTCATAAACTTCACTAAACAGTTCCACATTAATAGGTAATGTTTATGCATTATTAAAAATATCAGACTTGGTAAAATCAATAATAATATAAAAATAATCAATACAAATAAAACATATTTTACTACTAATTAAAATAGTGCAGTTAAAAAACATCATTCTTAGGTATAATATATAGAATAATGTTATAATAGTAATTTTAGACAAACATTTGCTGTCTGGGATACGACATTGCTTAGGCTTTTATTTTTTAGCCAATATTTGTAGGTATTTAAAATTTGATATTTTTTTTTCACTCAGCTTTTTTATTTGTGTGTCAATGAAAATTATTTTAATATAACTAATGGGAGGCTACTAGTACTAAACTCTTTTCGGTTATGATAACATTTAGGGTACGTCGGGAGGCAACTCGTATATAGTCGGGAGGCAATTCGTATAAAAATGATGGGCCTTTTTGACATCGGGAGGCAACTAGTGTGTGCCCGTCTTTATAATTTTAATGTTATACTAACCCACTAAATATCTATGCAGTTATGTAATTGAAAAATATTCGAAAAACTAGCTTATTGTTTTTTGTTATTATCAACGGGTTTACATATAATTGTACATTAAAAGTTGTATATTTAATACAAATTATTGATTTAATCAGCTATTACTCATATCTACGACACATAAAACAATTAGCTAGTATATAGTATAAATTATAAAATGACTAAGTGCTACTTTATTTATTAAGTTTAATATAATATTATTGATCATGCATTTATTAGACACACGGCCACAAGATTAAAACCTCAAATAAATAACCATATTCTTTATTATTTTAATCTATATTAATATGATGTTTTAATAAAATTATAAATAATAAAATATAACATAGTTACTATAAAAGATGAAATACACATAAAGAAGGTTATAAATCTATTTTAGTAATAGGCGATTAATTTATATATTGGTGATCATTATTTTAGATGGATATCTTATGGGAAAAGTAAAAAACATGCAAATGCGATAAAGTTTGAGTATTATTTATTTTTTTGAGTATCAATATTTTTTATTTATCTTTTTTTTTTGTTCATTAAGTGATCTTAGCGCTTCATGTATGATAATTTATTTTCATGTTTATTTTTTAGTACTGAAAATAAAAAAATTTAAATTTAATAAAAAATTATTTGGATAATAAATTCAATATAGTCTATTTGTGAATTTGATTTTAAGAATACTTTTGGCGGTAAAAATATTTATCTAAGTCAAGTAGTTTTTTTTTTTTAATTCAATATTATTTTGGTTAAAACAATTTGGAACGTAATAACTTTTTTTTAAATATGATTTTTTAGAATTYGCTRACATGAGTATATTTCTTAAATCATTTACTGATCATATGATATTAACAATTTTTGTCATACGTTTAAATAGTACCTATAATTCATTTTTTTTTTGGTCAGGTCTTTTTTTTACACTCTGTATATTAAAATATTTTCAAGACTCAAAAATATTTTAGTGTCGGTTTTTGAAAAATACTAAGGTCATAAGACTTGTAAATATTATGTATAATAATGAATAATCTAAAGTCATTCAAATACATGCATAATCAATTATAAAATTATATTATCTATAAGTGATAACACGTCTCTCTTGAACGTTCACAATTACTTATGTAGGTATACATGGCGATTGTTTTCACGTGGACCACGAGCTAGCCGCCAGTGAAACATTGCAATAATGAATTCGTATTTATTAATATATGAATGCATCCATTTAAAACCAAAATTGAATGATAATAATAATGGTTTATCGTATAATAATTATAATTTTTAATAACATTAGACTGGTGGATGATTGTTGGAGGGAAGGTCGAAACATTTCTTCTCCGTATATCTTGTCATGCGCTAAGTTGAATATATTATACAAATTATATTACAGGTACCTAAATATGTGTATTATACCTAATTTCTAGAGAAAAAAAATTATATAATATTAAATGCAACGGATATGTGCACCAACTTGAACGTCGACTGATTTTTCACGTCAAAATTAATATCCTATTTTATAGTAATTATAATAATTACATAAGTATATACATGTACGCGACGAGAAGGTCACACACCGTACCTATAGCAAGGGGTGGGGGTTTATTCGAGTGATGTTATACCCGCTCACTTTTTCTCCACTTCGAGAACCTACGGGTCTGGCATAGTGGCACGAGCGGTCAACGCGGGCGGGCGTCGGTCCATCATGTACCGTGGTGGCGTGGTATATACAACCGACCTTATACCTTATAACCAATAATGCGGCGCGTGCCCAAAGACGAACGGCGCACCTGAAGAAGTTGTTCGCCACGCCGCTACAGTGCATCATCGATCTTGGCGCGCCGATCTGCTTCCGCTGCTGAAGTGGTGTCGGGCGCCATCCAAATAATAATGACGTCCAATCGCGCGGTTATTATATTATCCCAAGCCGTCGTGGTTGGCAATATTTTTAAAAACGAAAATTGCTGAGATCGGCTACCAGAAACACTTTTGAGTTTGTTTTGTTATGTAGGTCATGTACTGTGGTACATTCACCTCTATAGTTGGAGAATCTCTATTTGTTCTTACCATCACGAACATACAATATTGTAATATAGTTACCTATATTTAAATATTTAATCAATGGTGAATACGAAGAATGAATTATGAAACCTTTGGAAGAATATTCATAGATATTTTTCTAGTTCATTCATAATATATATTAAAAGTGGGAGTAGGGGTATTTAAACGGTTCAATGATATTTGCACCTATTTTGACTTTCGCTATGCACGTGAACATTTTGTGCCAAGCCACTTGTTTTATTCCACTCCTGACTGCGAATGTCCGTATATTACCAATGTATTGAGCTGTGTATTTGTGTATTTAATCAACACCACAAATACAATTTTAATAATATAAACCATATAGGTACAAAAACTTATACTATTTATACTCGAGTCTTGGCTAGGCGAAACTTTATTTTTAAGTATCCACTAATACAAAAAAATAAGTGCAAATATTTTTGGGATATATCAAGTATTATAGTTATAAATATAATAAAAATAACAACAATTATTACGCGCATGATGGACTGTATAAACAGAATGCATATATTATATATTTATATAACATAGATACGGCAGTTTCTTTTGTGGGGGATGGGGTAGTTTTTTAAATTTTTTATTAATAACTCCTGTACAAAAAAAGTGGC